AACTTCCCGTTCCTCTATTTAATATTTCCATTTTTCTGCAGCCCTTTAAGTTGTGTCTAAGTTGTGCAACAATTTTCTCAGTATTATGCCAACAAAAAGAATACACATAATAAAACCTATTATATTGCATTATTAGATGCATTTTTCTAGACAGGTTTTATTGGGGAAAGTACCCGTTTAAATTATTATAAGACATCTCTTGTTATTGCAATTCCTGGAAAAATTAGCTAATCTCATGGGGGAATCAATTATAATTCTAGCATTTTTCTTGCCTTAAACTCATGTGACTTTAGGCCAGCCCAATGTCAGAGTTATAGCTGATTCAATGATATGCACGTAGCACCGATCCGACATTATAAAAAGCCGTCGCCAGATCAGACAAAAACCAATTGTCTGATTCCGTCTAAAGACGCGACCAGACAGCATTTAGAGCGGTTTTTGGTGGTCGCGTCGTCGTCTAGTCGGGGTTTCTGCTGATCGCTCAGAATGAAAACGCACACACACAGAAAGGCCCACCCCAAGACAAATCAATGACCTCTTTTGCGTGTCTTGGCCGAAAGCGAAAAAATAAATCGACAGGTTGGCATTTAAATTAAAGTAAAAATAAATGAAATTTCACTGAGGAAATTCGCGCGTGTGAAAAGTGCAAGCCACAAAAACTATTCGGTCAATGGTCAGCACAAACGTCAGTTTGAAATATAATATATATGTTTTAGATGTTCGACAAGGGTACAGTTACTGTTGTTTTTTTGGGGCATGCCTCTCTCTCTCTCTCTCTCACGAAAAGATCTGTGGGTGAAAAGCTGTAAGTTATGCGCTGAGGCGGCTAAAAATGCCACTAAAATGCATTTAAAAATTGTACATGCAGGCACACGTTTGGTCGTAAAATCAAGGGGTTTTTAGAGCAGAAATGATTTTTTTTATTATTTTACCAGATACTGTGTGGGGTACAAGGGTTTATTTCACTAGCAAAGATTTATGCAACAGGCAGTTTCATTTTCACCTTTTCATTGGAAAACAATCTTACGTTGGCATCTTCCTATTAAAGTGTATTTTTTATTTAGTTTGCTCGACCTATCATCGAAGCTCAATGAAAATCGAAATATGATCTGATTGCCAGGTATCCCATAGTCGAAATATTGTCACTATCATTCTGACTTGTTTTTGTTTCCCTTTCCGTTTATTATTATTATAACTATAATATTTTTTTATTTTGTTTGTTTACGTGCACAGGCGACAGCAGCGGCGGCAGCGGCGGCAGACGACAAAATTGATAAGATTAGGTCGGGAACTACCAAACCTATAACCTAAACAGCGGCCAGTCGGTCGGTCATATACCTGAGAATTAGTACTGCCATAGACACACACACACACACACACCCCACAGATACGCATACGTAGGCACACTATCACTGTGGCGTGTTATCATCAAATTCTATATCAGTTTAGAAAGCATAGAGTTTTGTTTTGTTGAAGGTGATTCCACGAAACATGTCGAGTGCTTCGATTCGATCATCATAGCCTGTACAGCACAGCACAGCACGTTCAACAGAATCGACGACTGCCCCCCAGGCACTGCATATGTCGCTCCATATCAGGGACTCTTATGAAACCCTTCTGTCCTGCGCAGCTTAAAGTTTCAATCAAAACTGACTTTCTTTTGAACCATTTTCGAGGAAAATTCACTCGGATTTCCCTGCCAGAGTGTGGCTGTGCTGTGCCGTGCCTGATATCTTTTGTCTTTGAACACAATGCCCACATCAAAAGGTGTTTTTCGTATTTGTTGCGCTTTCGAGGGTTTTATCTTGTCTGTTGTTTGGCATTTGTTGCGATTTGTCATGGGCGCAACCAACCAACCAGCCGCCTGACTAAAAGAACAACCAGAAACGGGGCAGGGGCTGGGCCACGGGACAGGGAACGACGTACCCCCCCCGTGGCGAATTTATTATTAAGAGAGACTGAGGACTGTGGACCGGGTACTGGGAATGGGATTGCGACTGTGACTGTGACTGCACAAAGCAAATCATATAATCAGACAGCTCTGCTTTGCTCTGCTCTGCAGCTGGACGGGATGCCAAAGCGACTTTAAGGCGTTTTTAAGCGCATAAAAATGCAGATCAAAGGCAGAATTTAAATAATATTTAAGGCAAGCTATTTTCAGATTAAATCAAATGAATAAAATATAGAAAAGTAAAGTAAAATAACGTAGAAAATTTACGCTCTACAAATCGATAAAAAAGAGGCGTGTGAGTCGCTCTGGGGACGCATTTCCCGTACTCAGTCATATATACATTTTTGAGCTTATGATTTAGAATTTTAGAAATTTACATTTTACATTTTTTTGCTAATTGTATCTACATCTACATATACAATGTATATTCTACATCTTACATGTGATTGTAATGTTCCAATTAGATTCTACATCCCCCTAGGGGTTGCTCGCGCTGAAGAGCAGAGTGTGCGAGTGGGGAAAAGAGTTGGTTGTGTGGGGGGGGGGAGGGGGAACGTTTCTTCATTCTGGCTATAATTTGATCCGATCTGATTCAGATTGGAATGGGATATGGGACTCGATACGGTTTAGTTTTATCGTTCTTAAACGGCCGCCACGATTTTCGTCCTTTGTGTGGGGGAAGGGGGCGGGGCGAATTTTGAACACTTGCATGTATCAAGTCTGGAACCAAATTTGGTTTCTCTAGCTTTATAGTCCTGGATCAGGCGCTCATCAAGACGGAGGACGGACAGACGGACGGACAGACGGACATGGCTATATCGACTCGGCTATTGATGCTGATCAAGAATTATACTTTATGGGGTCGAACGTTTCCCTCTGCGTTGACACCCACTTTTCCACATCTTATCCCCTACCTTTTTTGGTACGGGTATAAAAATGATTTAATTTTTTTCTGTTATTTCTAAACGAACGAAAAATGCTTACAAAAATTAAGAAATAAATAACATGGGACAGATTTTGATTAATTTTTTTCAAAGATTATTCACCAGTTTAAATCGGCATTTTAAAGCAGAATATTTCTATGACTTCAGTTGCATTTTTATGATAACATTTTACGAGGCATCTTTCGTATTTAAATATTTATTGTATGACGTGTTTTTGGAATGACTTGGATTCCCGCCCTGTTAAAGAAAATGTTTCATATGGGCGTGACCTCATTCGAATAAAATGATAGGAAGGCAGCTATGTACATACCCAGAAGTATTGGTATTACAAGTAAACCCTATAATAAATCTGACCTTGGCGTACATTGTTGTTCTGCCCTGCAATAAAAAATCATCTATTCCATTTCTGCCACTTGGATAATAGCCAGTCACACGTAAACGCAGTATGACGTGAGATAGCTGGAATCCGGCTGTTTGTTGGCTAATAAAAAGATCCACAAAAGTGTTGCAGTGTTGCCTTTGCATACAGTTCGTATTTAAATAACAATCTTATCCGAGTTATTAAAAGATCTAAAGAATGAAGGGGGGGGATTATCTTAACATACTCAATGCGCTATGCCTGTTTTGTGTATTCCCTAATCCATCCCCACGCGCAGTCATAAAATTCGTTTTGTGCCCGTCCCAAAATCAAATCAAATGCTCAGATGCATATCAAAATAATCTAAGCAAATGAAATGAAATGACAACAACGTTGGGCACACACACACACACACACACAAAAAAAGGCATAAAATATGAGCATGCAACACCCCAGGAAGAGAGAGGGAGAAAGATAGCGAGGGTAGAGGTGGAGGTGGAGTTGGAGTTGGAGAAAGAGAGAGAACAAGAACTGTGGCACCCATAAAATTGACAGCTGATCTTTTTTGTTCGTTCTTTTCCTTATTTTTTTTTTGTTGTATTTTGAGTATCAGAGCAAGGGGTGCCGGTGCCCCATTGTATCTCCCTCCCTCTCTTTTTTCCGGATTCTACCTGCTTGAGGGTCATAAAAAATTAAGAAAAACATGGGCAAACTCTCAGGAGTGGAAAAAAGGAGACAACGACAGGCGGAGACGTCGCATATTTTAAGCCGATGGGATCTCCTTGGGATGGTCAGGCTCTGTCTTCTGTCCTCTGTCCTCTGTCTAAATCCCAGCCGCACACTTGGCATACATAGAATAAGATCCCGAAACGAACTGAACAACAAAACGCAATTAGAAACACAACGAAAAACTAAACGAATTTCAATTGAAAACACAAGCGGGAAGAGAGAGGGAGAGAGAGAGAGTTGGGCCAACAGGATATGCTCAACTCAAAGATTTGTAATATGAGCGCTGCATACTTATGAGACGACAATGATCATGGTACCAATGATAATGGCACCAACATGTACCCGGCCCGTACTGCCGATCAGCTCCACGATAAGCGGGCCAAGACCTGGCCGGGCAGAGTCTTCTTCTTCTCCTGTGAAAGCTTTAGGGGTGGGGGAAATCTCTTAGAGAATCGCAAATAAAACTATAAATGGCCAAGTACAAGAGTCAGCCAAAGGCCAGCCATTCCCCAGGGAAACTTAAATCGTGGCAAACAAATAAGAGCCAATACGAATATTAAATGCACTAATCAAAGGTCAGTTATTGTTGGAAATAAATGTAGATGTATCTTTCGGCTACAATATTTTGCTCCTTTTCATATCTCACTAAAATCTACAAGATCTTCAAGATGGATAAGACATCAGGGACAACAAATGCAGCCAACCAAAAATATACAAGGGAAAATGATTTCCATTCCAGGAATTTCTAGACGGCACTCCGGATATTTGGAGGACATTCTAAGACATTATAGATTCCAGTTTTCGGCTTACAGCTGCTTTTGATTTCTTCCCAAATTTACTTTCTTCCAGTTCTCTTTATGGAACGCATATGCCCCATCGTTCACGGAGATCGTTTGAGATTTTTAGATTTTGTTCAAGTTGCACGAATGGCAACATCGCGCAGCCGTACTCCACCGACTCGCATTCCGAGAGCATTGTGAGAGTATAAAAAGCAAAGAAATGTTATATTAATATTTACCATGAGCCTTCTTCTTTCTGGATTTCGGCGCCATGTCTGATGATTGTTGTACGGGGTGGGGCGGGGTGCAGCGGCAGGCAGGCGGCTGCAATGCAACTTTGTTGGTGTTGTGGTTGTGTTCTTCTTCCTCTCCTTTCACAGAGTCTCTTCCTTTGCACACACTCTTCTCTTCTCTATACTCCACTCCACTCCACTCCTCTTCACTCTTCACTCTTCTGGGCTGTGCAACAAAACAATAAACGCGAAGCAGCGCGCAACAAAAGCAAAACAAAAGCACACGAGATCGTGGATCACAGGAAGGGGGATCCAATCTCTCTCTCTCTCTCTCCCTCTCTCTCGCTCTTTCTCTGGCTCCACGGAGTATCTGTGTGCGCCAAAGAACTGGATTCGTATGCTCTCTTCTTTTGGGTTTTGTTTATAGCGCCTCGTTGGGGGGACGGCGACAGGAGCTGGCAGCCGAGAGGGGGGCTGGCGGGGCTATGACGACGGCGTCGGTCAAGCCGGCGACACCATGGAGCCCAATGTAGAAGAAGCAGACGCAGAATTATGGGTTCTGCCAAACTTGATCCTTGTAGGCAGGGCGGAACGGATGCAAGAAGCTTTTGTTGCTGTTGCTGTTGTTGTTGCTGGATCTGGTGTTGGAAGCGTTGTTGTTGCTGTTGTTGTTGTATCCTCTTGTGTGTTTGTTTGTGTGTGTGTGGTGTGGTGTGAGCGCGTGATCACGTTGATTATAATTATATACGAAAGGTGGCAATACAAATCAGGTGAAATTCAATCCTCAATCCTTTTTGTTTCTCTCTCTCTTTCTCTCTGTTGTTATTATTATTTTGTACTGGATCTCAAAGAACGTTTGGCACTATTTTGGTTTGATTTTAATCGATCAGCACTAGCACAAAATAAACACTATTATTTCTCTTTTTCATAGATATATTCTTATGTTCTGTTGTTGATTATTTTTTAGTTGAAACTGATTTGATTGAGACACATTTTCTTTTGTATTATTTAGTTAATAATATTATCCGTAAACATGTGTGTGTATTTATACAACCTCGAGTGTGTTGTTCGGACACGAAGCGTAGGTAAACACCAGAGACGAATACGTCACAAAACGCGCACCACATAACACATCAGATACTGAATGTGCAACAGGTAGAACTATAAACTATATATTATTATTTTTTTTATAATATATTTTCGTTATTTTTGTGTGATTTTATCAACGGGGATGGGTTACAAAGATCTCACGAATTTTCTAGCCAAACGCACGCAAATGTGAAACACGGAGCGACGCGGCCGCAACTTTGAACATTCAAACAAAGATTCGGCGCGATTTTTCATGAACAAGAATATATATGGATATGTACGCTCTGAGAGCAGATGTTGCTGAGAGCAGATGTTGCTAAGAACCGGTTGCCGGGTGTGATGACAACAGCTGAAATGTTGCTAGGACCTCGTTCACCTAGCACTAGAGCTGCAACAAAAATCCTTTTTCGCTGAATCGATAAATTAATTTTAAATTTTGAAAAACACTTGTAGCAATGTGATATCACATGAGTCTGGAAACCAAATTTGGTTGCTCTAGCGCTTATAGTCTCTAAGATCTAGGCGCTCAACAAGACGGACGGACGGACGGACGGACGGACGGACAGACGGACATGGCTAAATCGACTCGGCTATTGATGCTGAACAAAGAATATATATACTTTATGGGGTCGGAAACCTTTCCCCACACATCCATATACCCCTTAATCCTCCTTTTAGAGTACAGGTATATTAAAATCCACCTATTACGCCCTGTGTAACGGTGTACCAGCAACATTTGGCTGCGGCACTTGTTGCGCCTAGCTGGCAACATATCTCAGCAACACCGGAGAGAGCAAAACCGAGAGAGAGAGCAAAGCCGACAAGAGCCGAGAGAGCCAACAAACAAAACGAGAGAGAGAGAGAGAGAGAGAGAGAGAACACTTGAATTTCAAGTTTTTTCACCCTAGTATGAGTGTATCTATGTGTGCACGGGTGCATCTGTATCTGAGAGCTCGAGCGTGTGTATCTTGATCTTTGGTTAGCATCGTCGTCGTCGTCGTCGTGGCCGTTGTCTGTGCGCTCGTATTTCGTTGCTGCTTATTATAACTGACATATCTAGATACGGCCGCATACGGGGGGACGTGCCCCAGGAAGCGGGACTGGGAGGAGCTTGGTCGGTGCATAATTGCAGGGCCCTTTTGCATATGGGGGCAGCAGCAGCAGCAGCATGCAACAATAATAACAGTTTTGGTCGAATTTGTTAGCGATTCGAGGCAACACACCAGGCCAGTGATTAGCAGCAACACCATTGCCAACTAATAGTTTGACTCCTTTTGCTGTTGCTCTCACGAGCGTATCCATGAGATACACGTACTTGCAGATATCACTACGGCTGCGGTTGCCTCTGCAGAGCGTAGAGCGCGCTGTCCAGCCTCTTTGCCTTCATTAGCCGCACAGTAGTCGCGGCTAATTATGGTCTACGATAGTCTTCTGTTTGTGGTCTCGTCTCGTCTCGGCCTGGTGCCTGGTACCTGGTGTCAGAAGCGCTTAGCACTTCTTCCTTTCTAGCCACCAGGTAGTCATAGACACTCCGAGCACTGTCCGCATTAAAAACGCATTTAAGAGATATCTCTGATCCGCACTTCACAGAATATAAAAGCTTAATATCATCTTAATATCCAGCCGCAGGTGAAATTTTGTATACCTTAAATATTTTTTTTTCCAAGCGTCTAGCACCATTACCACTAAAAAGACTGTACAAATATTCTAATGATTATTTTAACTTTCACATAGAGAAAGCCAAAAGCTATTTCCATTTGTTTTGTTCAGCGATAACCCACAGGCGAGTGCACCCGAACTTTAACCTCTCAAACTCCGCCAGTCGAAACCCCAAACCCCAACCCCAGACCCAGGCGGACTGATCTCCCGTTTATTATCACGCCCGCGGCCATAATTCATTTTGCTCCTTCGCCTTTGCCTCCGCCTCGGTCTGGGTCTGGTTCTGGGTCTGCTTTGCTCTGGTTTTGTCTAGTCCAATCTATAGATGATGCCCTTTTAGCTCCCTGAATGCCAAGATTTCTTAGTGGTTTTTGTTGTTGTGGCAGCCACTTCTTGTGCTGCTCTGCCCCTGCCTTTGCCCCCGAGGTGTGATTTCTCAAGTGTAGGAGTCATGCGGCGCACAGCCAGACGCGGCACTCACTGAGTGCTGCACCAGAGACCAAGAGAGCAGTAAACTGCAGCTGGCCAGAGGGCCACTGTTTTGGGGGAACCAGAAAATCAACTTGATTCTACAGATACCCTTGATCAGATCTCAGCGGAAGGGGAAGACCAGACCAACACGATTGAGTAATCGGAATCAACGGCAGCCATATATTTCGTAGAGTTATTCAAGAATCATTCTGTAGTTTTGGCTTCATAATTTCTTAAATTATCCATCAGTTGGCGGGTGCTAAATGTATTGAAAAAGAACTTTGTTTTATGGCTGCACTTCGTTGATATCAAGAATGGGTATAATTTTTAGCGATAAGTTAAAAAAGTCCCCTGATAATTCTTCGAGCAACTGCTAAACTTTGAACCAATGAACCAACCTCCAAGAATTCAAATGATATGGATCCAATGCAGATGATTAACAAAAAACTCAGACGATGTTGGTTCAACAAAAGCGAGAATTAATTGAGAAAATTTCCAAGCAATGTTCAGAAACATATTCTTAACACCACTTGGGACCAGTCAAAAAACTGAATTAAGAAGAAAGATAAAATACTCATATTCTAGACAGAATGTTTAAGTTTATTATATAAGCAACCATAAAAGATAATCCTCATCATAAATAAATGAAAAGGCATTACCTTTTTATTCATTTTTATTGCTGAAAAGATAATTTACAATATTCTTATCCCAATTTTCCACGCTATTGCTTTCACTGAGCACCAAAATGTTATATGTACATATTACCTATTCGATTCGTTCACTTGGCCTGCCCAGGTCTAAGTTTTACAGCCGTAGAGGTGGAGTGGAGTGGTGCATGCAACGTGGCTTGAAGTGGAATGCGCAGAGTCCATGACTTGTGCGGATCGCATTTGATTAGAGGCTGAATATATGCTGAAAAAACTCTTTTTAGCGCGAAATTTCCATACGATCTTCGTGCTAATGCGCGTAATGGAGTAAGCCCAAAAGATAAACGTGAGGATTTGCTGCACTGCCCAATTAGCACCTGTGCTAAAAAGCCCCTAACCGAGACTCGACTCCAATTTACCTGTTCCATTAGCACTGCACTGTGCTTTGAAATTTGTATTTGAGTTTGAAGAACTGTCTGGGAGCTGGGAGTAGGAGCAAGAGAAGCAGCAGGAGGTGGAGATGGAAATTCCGGCAATGAATCGAGCAAATAGCCATTATTTTATTCTGTTGTATACAATAGAACTTGTATTCCATTTTGAATGTTTTTGAGTATTTCGTGTGAAAAGCGGACGGCACAGACAGGGGGAACACTCTCCTATCCACAATCCAAACACAATAAACATATACAGAACGGGCGCAGCCAGACAGAGTGGCGGGCCCAATGGATCGTTTGTATCTGTAACGAATCTGTATCTTTGGGTTTATTGTTAGAGCTCACATTAGATACAGATACAGATACTGAGAGGAAGAGAAACCTTCTCGGCTGCTCTGCTGGCAGGGTCACTCTCAACATTCTCAACATGGCCAACAGATGTGCGCAACAGGCTCCCAAATCAGACAAAAGGCAAAAGGGTCTCCGGTCGTCCTCTTACTGAATAACTGAAAAGGTTCTCGAGGAGATGTCACTTGGAGTGTGGCTGGGCCTTAAATCAAAGTCAAAGGCAAAGATCCCAGTCCCAAAAACAAAGCAGACATACATACAACAGATTGTTCTCTTGGCTCTTTTTTGTGTTGGTAGCAGCAGCCACTACTGTGTCCAGCCATCTCACAGATACCACCGGGTCGAGTCTCGGCGTATGTATCTGTGTATCTGCAGCATGGAAATTTTCGTAGTGTACCAGAAATTTGTGTCAACGTGGGCGACAGTTTTCATTGTGTGTATAAATAAACCGAAAGACATTTCATGCTGTCGGCAACATGTGGAAAAATGCTTGGAATTTGTTCCATTCTTGCACACTTTTGCAATGCTTTTGGATCTTAGAGATACAGAAAAACAATCGACTCGAAAAACGAGACCAAATCTCTTGGTGGAACACAACTTGCCAAGGTGTAAATGCAACTCTGTCCCTTTGAGTCTGTTGCATCATTAACACTCTCGAGTGGTGCCCCTACCACCCCCCTCCATGACTGTTCATCAAAGTGAAGTGCAATTAAGCATGCAACAGGGCCTCTTCTTCCACCATCTTTCCTCATTTTGTTTCCTTCTCGGGTTCGTTTCGGTTTCTGTTCTTTTCTGTTCTCTTCTCTGCTGCACTTCACGGTCCCAAGGTGAGAGGTGTTAAAGTTTTATGGAATTTCAACAACGATAAATTATAATTACACGCAGCGTTGCGCATAAATCTACCCACACTCTCTCATAAATGCCTGCACACTGCCGTAGATGCACAGAGAGTCTTCAGCCCCGAAGCGGCTTATAACGCGTCATACATAATTTGTACACGCATCAAGAATCCTCCCCCCGTCATTAACACCTTTTGAGGGTGATTCTAGACCTGTCTAAATATATTAAATTAAAAACTAAACGCAAAACCAAACCAAAAAGGAAGGCCCCACGATTGTTGCTAGAATTAAACGAACAACAGAATTGACTACATAAATTCGAGCAACTTTCAAGTATAGCATTTGGCGAGTAACGTACAACATCCTCGATAGTATAGTGGTCAGTATCCCCGCCTGTCACGCGGGAGACCGGGGTTCAATTCCCCGTCGGGGAGAGATGTAAAATCTTTTTTTTTTCTTTTTTGTTAAATTTCTTTTGTGTTTAATCTGTTTCTTGCTCATTTTTTTGGGTTTTTAAACCATTGGATTTGAATTCAAAACCATTTACTACATATTGAAAACTAGTATGGAGCATTTGGATACCATACAAAATAAACCAGGAGACAAGCAAATTTATGTTTAAGATTTTACGTTTAATTAGCTTCTTGTTGGGGGTAGCCACTCAAAAAAGAAAATAAAGCAAGGAAAATTACAAAAATTTAACTAAAAATTAAAAAAAATTAGATTTTTCATCTCTCCCCGACGGGGAATTGAACCCCGGTCTCCCGCGTGACAGGCGGGGATACTGACCACTATACTAT